TCACTTTTTAACCTGAAAATCTCAGAGGCAAAGCAGTTACAGAGTTGTTATAGTGGCTCAGTGTAATTATCAAGGTTCTGAGATCTTTCTCTTTTCTACTCTACGATCTTTAGCGTGTTCCCTGTTTTCCTTGGGCCTTTTCTTAGACTATCATGGCTCTAGACATACTTATCTTTGTGCACTGCATTCAAGTGTACAGAAAGGTTATTTTCTTTTTTCAAATCTTCTTTATGAAGGTGGAAATCCTTTCCCACAAGCCCAGGGCAGACTTGCCCTTAGTCTTATTGACTTAGATAAGGAGATGTGACTTTATGCTAGGCTCCAAAGAGGCAGGAAAGGCAGGCATTCTCAGCTTAAGTGTGGGACTGAGAGGTGAAAGAGGTGAAAGGTGACTACTAGGTAGAGAACAAAAAGCTTCTGCCATAGAGAGGCAAGACTGGGTGTAGATGATAATTCCAGGCAGTTTATCATTAGATCGAATTGTGTGCTCCAGGCCAACATCAGCAAGGTTCTTCTGTTAAGAGGAAGATAGTAATGTTTTAGGCTTTGCTCACCACCTGTACTCTCTGTTGTGTACTCCTTACCTTTTTTAAAAAATAACCCTTTTAAAATGTGACAAACATTCTTAGCCTTCTTGCAATGACAAAACAAGTTGTAGACCAAAGTTAACCCAAAGACTACAGTTTGCCAACCTTTGCCTACTCAGTGAAACTTCAGAGGGGACTTTGCACTTCAGTGTAGTTGAAGTCATCATTTTGAGGTTTGCTGAAATTCTGGGGTGTGAGTGGTAATTTCAAGGATGGATAAGATTTGGATTGAGAGATGTCTACCTTCTGAAGTACATACAAGCAAAGTTACCAGGACACAGTCCTGTGTTAGGAGCAGAGTGCAGAGAAGCAGTACCTTCACAAAGAAAATGGACAGATTGCAGGCCGGTTAGAGAGCACTATGGCACGAGTAGCCGCACTGCTTCAGCCAGCAGTAGGCCACCCTGCTAAGTAGCCCTGAGAAGTAAAAATGATCTTAAAGCCTGTATTTGGACTTGACCCTTTGGTAGCTACTTCCTTAGAGCATTTAGCACCCAGACCAGCATGACAGTTTTAGTCCCTGATAGCAAAAATACCTTGAACCTGGTCTGTCGGCCTGTGTCAGTTTGTTTCTATGCCAGCACGATCTCAAAACTTCATTCCTGAGGGATGCTCCCAGGAAAAAGCAGTGATCTGAGGCTTCTTGATACAGAGAGAAGCAGATCACCTGCAGGGATTCAATCTTCATGTCTTTCATCAACTGGCCCAGTTTGGTGACAAGGATCCACTCTTTGTCTTCTCTCTTGTCACTGCAAGCTCTGTGACCTGGGCCTCAGGCATAACAGAGGCCTAAAGACCATTACCTCATCCTCTGTAGAAGCCTATTGGTATCAGCTGCCATTTTGTATTTTCTCAAGAAGGAAGTGATAGTATATTTTCAAAATCCCCAGTCTCCTTAAGTTCAGCAGCATGCATTTAGAATAATAACAAAAGTCAATAAATGTTTTATGCGTCTTAAAAAGATATAACCTATGTCAGGAATAGAATGAAAGACATTAAACATATCAAGAGGAGTTGAGACTCTGGGATTATTTCTTAAAGTTCTGCCTGAAAATTGTTAGGTAATATACAAGTTAGATTTTAGCATTCTTCATAACATTGTTCTTAGTACATGAGTTCTTGCATCATACATTCTATATAAAGATTATAATATTACTGTAATTATTATTTAGAAATTATACTTGCTATGTATAGGTGCACTTTTTGTTTTTATAAGTGTGTTTTTATTCCCAGAAATCTCTGTCTGTCTGTCTGTCTGTCTGTCTGTCTCTCTCTCTCTCTCTCTCTCTCT